TTAAAGAGACAGGCACGAAAAACAGCGTGTTTCTGCTTCCACTCAAAATAGGCATTTTCAAAATGATATAATAAATGATCTGTGGGGTATTTTGAGCTGAAACTTCACAGACACATTCTGGGGACATCAGAGACTTATATTACATATTGTAAAAAGGGGCATAATATGTCTCCTTTAAGGGGATATTAATGAGATGAACTTAGGGGATATTTACACAACACCTTTTTCAACTAAAAGTGGAAAAAAATCACTGCATTTTAGCCATTCATTTGCATGACAGTGGTGTTTTGGGGGCCTGAACATGCACATTTTGAAAACAATACCGTTATCATCTCCATGTAAGCCACAAACACACAAAACTTTTCCAAAACTAAAAGGAAAAACTTTTGTTTTATGTAGGCTACTCCGTTGTCGTGTACCCTAAACCCAAAAATTAATTTAGTTGATTAACTCTTGCATCATACCTGTTGGTTTGATATTTTAAATGAATGCAACTATGGGATTGCATTGGGACATTTTTAAATTTGACTTTTTTGGCCTACTGTATGTGGCATGACATCATCTGGTCCCTTACCTACCATTGATATCACCTTCTGGTTATTGAAACGCAGCCTCTTCTCTAAGCACTCAGTGAGCTCTGGAATGGTGCTGATGTGACATTCAGGTCCCCCCACTTTGGTTCGGCTGTTTTCATCTGAAGACACGCGGCGGGCACGAGGATGAGAGTGCACTTCCTTTTCCTCACGGCCCTTTAGGTGGACAGGGACAGGGGCCATGCTTCTAGCATGGAGATGATTCGCCTGCATGGCTTCCAGCTGAGAATTTTCAATACAGAAACCAAGACAGAAAGAGAGGAAGAAAGACCATGACATAGAAACAAGTGATAAGCTACATACAAGCTATATTCATAATAATGTTAATCATATTTAAATAATCAGAACATAAATGCTATAAATGAATGAATTTCATTAAAGGGGTCATATGATGCGATTTCAATTTTTCCTTTCTCTTTGGAGTGTTACAAGCTCTTGGTGCATCTGGTAATGGGCGTAACATTTCTGTCACACGCTTGAGGTATTCGGCCAATTAAAACGCACTGGATAGCTGGCCAATCAGAGCACACCTTGCTTTTCAGACCGATGAGCTTTGTAAAAATTGACGCGTTTCAGAAAGGCGGGGCATAGAGGAGAAACAATAATGTACAGTATGTGGAAAATAATGTGTTTTTTTAACCTTAAACCGCATAAACACATTTCATTACACCAAATACACAAAATAATGTTCTTTTTAGCAGCATCATATGACCCCTTTAATGATTATTGATTGTTTGTACATTTTGAAGTATAGTACATATTTTATATTGAGCTGAATGTCATAAATGGGTTAGCAGTAATGATTTCCTATGATAAAGTTAGTATTGTAAGGCTTAATATAAATACCCATATAAGAAACTTGTATAATCATTTTGTACATAATTGCATTAAATAGACATAATAGTCTGTAAACTCTGCCATGGCAAGGGTCAAAATAGGTTAATTATTCTTGAGCACCCCATAATGACTTGTGTAAGCGTTTCACTTGAAGTCAAGCTAATCATAGGAGCTTCACCTATTAACCTTGACGTATTGCCGCTTGGGCTGGATTACACTGTTTACAAATAGCTACATTATTTTCCCCAAGACATACTGAGCATGTATGCATTGCCAAAACTAGTTTCCTGACCTAATGCAACATAGTTCAAATATGCACTTATCTGCTGCTTGCAGAAAATACACATCTGAAGAAAAAAAATGAGCAGAGAATTGCCAGAGAAAAACAACCTGAGAAAAAGTATAAACCTATTTAACACACCACTATGCCACTATGGAATGCTGAAAATCAGTTATTCACATAAATAGGTACGTAAGTAAGTAAATAAATGAATGAATGAATGATTAAATTCCCACAGAGATTTCCATTTTCTGCTCCACTTTAGTCAGATTCTGTGCATGTAAAATCATGCAAAGCCACCTTAGCTTGTGACTTTTTGAATAGCACTCTTTACATTAATCGCATTACAGTCAGATCTGAGCATAATGAATAATAAGACTGAAGCAACAAAACAAATAGATACTGTGACATATAAAGCAAGTAGTAAATGTGCATAAGAATTTTGATGATTTTAATTTTAATTTTTTTAAGAGACAGCTGCTTTCTAGTCAACATATTATCACTGTAATTCATTTAATCTTCTTTGCATACCAACTGTAGATGTATGTATAGTAAATTAATTATATGTAATTAAGTGTTACACGCAGTTCGCTTTAAATAATCTCACTTTACACACACACACACACACACACACACACACACACACACACACACACACGTTGGGTTTCCATGTCTCATAGACATAATGATTTTTATACTGTACAAACGGTGTTTTCTATCCCGTTACCCTACCCCTAAACCTCTCATACAAAACTTGGAAAAACTTTGAAAAAAAAAAGCATGATTTATAATATTGTTTGTTGTCCATATAGGGTCAAAAATTACTGGCATTACTATCTTTGTAGGGGCATTTGGTCCCCATAATGTAGGGAATAATGTCAGGCACACACACACACACACAGTTGATAACCTAAGGTAGAATCAGTAAAAAGTATGACATGACAAATGATGCTTAGCACAAAGTGCAGGAAAATAACAGTCAGCCTCAAATTTCCTGAAAAAAGTTACTGAAATGTTATTTTTTATTAAAGTTTATTTGACTTTTTATGTAAATTGGGATTATCTAAAGCTAACTGCTTGAAAATGGAATGCATGAAGAATATTCAACTTAAATAGTTAATCAGTTCTGATTTAAATCTACAGGCTCACCTGCAAATGTATATTGTTTTTTTTTATATAATACATTGTTGTATTGTTGCTTGTATATAATACGATTTTTGTTTTGTTTAAAATTAGCAGTAACCAAGCATCCATCACACTTTTTTTTGGACATTCTTCTCTCTTGTCTTTCTGCTATAAACAGTCCTGATTATGTGGAGCATGTGTACGGTGTGTATGCATATACGGGGGTTGTGAGGTGTGAGAACGAGCATGTGAAGCACTGATGTGTGGGGGAAGAGAACAAATTGCTGCTGGGTCACTACCGCTAATCAGAGCACACTTTCCTGTTTTTATAGAGATTCTCTTCCAAAACCCATTATGCAATGCGTTACCCAGCTTTGCAAGATCAGCTCAGGCTGAATATCAGACACAGCAAAAAATCATGCCTTAAGCCATAAACACACAGTAATAGACCCCTGCTGGACATCTAGACTGGACATTGTCGATGGATTATAGCTGGCTCCCAGATGCATTAAAGAAATATGGTGTAAGGCTGTGCTTTTACCACAGTAAAATATGTTCTTATTGATAAATTTCTCTTTCTTATGGTAAAATATCTTACTCCTTTTATAAAACGGCAGCAACAGTACTATAATAAAAGACACCAATGCTTAACAAACAGTTGAATCTATTGTTAATAATTATGAAAATTATAAATTTAATTTCTTTATACTTTATATTTTTTATTTTTTATTAATTTATTAAAAATAAATAAGTTTAAGTTAAGTTTAAAACATAAATATTAAGTTAATTCAAATTTATTATTTTATACTATATAAAATTATTTTAATTATTATAAATAATATTAAATTACTATTTTATATTTATTTTAATTTTTTATGTAATTTGATTACAAAATTAAATTACTATTTTATATTTATTTTAATTTTTTATGTAATTTGATTACATAGTCAATATACTACGGTTATGATAATTTATGAATATTATATTGCATTTATTACATATTTTACAGCTTAATTATTATATATTTATAAAATAAAATAAAATAAAACAATTTTTCTACCAAATGACATGATTGGTTCTTTTTACAATTATTTTGATCATGGCTCATCATATCAGATTTTTAAGTTTAATAATGAGATGTTTATATATAGTTATATATTATACATTTATAATTGAAATATATTTATAGTTTATTATATTATATATTATAACGCAATATAGTTTAAATGTTCTTTAAACATGGCTCGTCAAATCAGAATTTTAAGTTGAATAATTTTAAACAATACAAAGATTATATTTAATTATTATATATAAAATAATTATTTTATATTATACATTTATAATTAGCATATAAAATTACACATATAATATTTATGTTATTTTTATATCATATTATACATTTATAATTATAATATATTTATAGTTTATGATTATTTTTGAATATTATATTATATTATCTGAACTGTTGGCTCATTTTACAATGACTTTGAATATAGTTCGTCTAATCAGTAGGAACTATCAATTTTATAACAGGAAACTCTTACCGTTTAATCCAATCTGGGTATTGTTTAGTATTGTACAGTTACATATACTGCATTTCTGATAATTCCCATTCTCTTAATTCCACATGTGCGATCACTACCTTACCATGCAGGGCAAAGAGGCACGGCGGTCAGCTTTGTTGCGCAAGGGCCTCCTAAAACTCCTCTTCCTTTCTTTGGCGTGCTCCTCCCCATGCCCCCAGTAACTGCTCATCCACTTGGTGAAGTTCCCATCATCGTCCTCATCATTGTCCATAGTAATCGCGGGAAGCAGCCGAAGAGACAGCTTGGGAACCGGTGTGCGGAGCTCTCGGTGAGGCTCCTGTCTCCTGCAAAGAAAAAACGCACCGGGCTGCAGCCGGCGTACGATGATCCAGCTGGGTCAGACGAGGCTGCTGCTGATGTTGTCCTGGAGCTTCTGAGGAACTCTTTCGTGGAAGGCAATGTGAGGTCCAGACTCCAGACTGTGTAGGATGGGCTGGGTTTGGCTTGGTAGGTTGTAATTAGATTCCTCCAGTTAGGTGCTCACAATGTGTGGGTTTAATTGCTCTAAGCCGACCCAAAAATATGCACACACAGCTTTTGTCGAAGTCTTTAAATAAGTGAATCCCCTGTAATCGTACACAGGAAAATTCTTTCTTTTTTTCTTTTGTGGAAATTCCTTCGTCTAAGGCAAAGGCAATTTTCATAGCTAGCATTTTATGTATAAATACAAACAAATTCAGAAGTATTTAATATTTTTATGATGGATATGATGGAAAATTCTGGGACAAGGTAAAAAAAATATAAATTTGAGCAAAAATAGAGTGAAAGAGCACACACACACACACACACACACGGAAAACAGATTTATTAGCTTTTTTGTCCCCACAAGGTCAACATTTTCAAAATTTACTGGTATTATCCTTGTGGTCCCCATAACATAGAGAATACCAGTACACAAAGACAGAGAGAGAGAGAGAGAGAGAGAGAGAGAGAGAGAAGAGAGAGAAGAGAGAGAGAGAAGAGATAAGAGAGCGAGAGAGAGAGAGAGAGAGAGAGAGTGTATGTGTGTGTATGTATGTGTGTTTAATTCATTTTATTAAAAAGCTGAATTTTCAGCAGCCATTACTCCAGTCTTCAGTGTCACATGATTCTTTAGAAATCATTCTAATATGCTGATTTGGTGCTTAAGAAACATTTTCAATTATTATCAATGTTGAAAACAGTTGTGCTGCTTAATATATATTTTTTGTAACAATGTAAAAGTCTTTACTGTAACAATTTAGTACATTATTGCTAAATAAAAGTTTTCATTTCCTAAAAAGAAAGAAAGAAAGAAAGAAAGAAAAAGATTAGAATAGAAGTGATAGAATCTTTGAACAGAAGAGCATATAAGTGTATACATGTGTGTGTGTGTGTGTGTGTGTGTGTGTGAATAATATGAATAAAAGTACAGTATAAAAAAGAACTGAAGATAATTTCATAATTTAACATCAACCCAAAACTAAGAAATTACTGTAAATATTATGTTCTTCGATAGACTGTTTCTAACAGAAGAAAAACAAACAAACATTGTAGCTCCTTATCCAATAAATGAAATTAAAAATATACAAAATGTGATCTCTCAGGTGTTGCAAGTATTGTGATTGTGTCAGAAAGACCTGTTATCACCTTTGGGTAAATGGTTTTAGACTAACCCAACCCTTGAGGACTGTGTCCTTATACATACACCAACACAAGTTGCTTCTAATCAAAGAAATCTGAATGACCATCCCTTTAGCTATTCAAGGATCTTAATCTTATTATCCCGCTATCCTATGTAGGTATTCACATAATTTAGATTATAACACTCTCAAAGGTTTAAAGCTGATTCGTGAATCATATTTTATGTGGATAACAAGTAAAAGAGGCCTTTCAGTGTTGAGTTGAGTGTGACCGAATACAACTACTTCTTGACAAAAAGAGCAATTAAACATGGATGAATACTGTATATTATTAAAACAGTCTTGTTCCCAGTTTCAATGCAAACCTGGACGAAACTGATTTATTTGACCATATAAAGGCCCCTCTGTTTGTGGTTCTATTTCAGGTGTTTTCTTACACTAAAATAGCCCATATTCACCTATCTAAAAAAAAAGCAGAGAGGACAATATTTATTCTTGGTTTCTAAACAGAGCTCTGAATAATGAACTTAAGGTCCAAAAAGGACAGAGTGTTTCTAAAATGGGAGCCAATCCTGGTTGTGTTCAATCATATGTGCAGTATAAGCAATTGTCTGGAGGTCACATATACACTCCGAGGTTTTGATGACAACAGCATTTATATGTGGGAATGAACTCCTTTCTTTGTACGGAATACAGGAGTCAATCCTGAAATTGCAAGTAACAATACTAGTTTACATAGGAGCAATGGAGTATGTAATATGAATATATTTTCAGTGTGTGCATCAGATTTTGAGTTTTGAAGGGTCTTAACCTTCACTGAAAGATGAGTGAAGAGACCCTGGCACTTATAGGCTGAACGTATACAGGGAGACAGCAGCCTTGGCCTTGTCTCATAACTGCGTTACTAGTGCAAACACAAATTGATCATGTCTCGTGTTCTAGCCAAGAGCTATGATTGATCTAAACTTGCTATGGCAGTGTGCATTCAATTGACATTTTACATCATGTGTCAACCAGAGCGCCTAGACAGTGTAGCAGACTTTTTTGACTACTGAACATGCACACTGTTTTGAAATCGGATTTTTGGAAAATTTAAAATCAAGCTTGTATTTTAATCAACATATCTATGAGGAGCCTATATATAATATATAAACTAAAATCTACATATATGTGTGTGCTTCATATACCAGCAATTTCTGAGTGAAAACTTGTTTCTATCCTCCCCCCCACACTTTCATACAATAGGCAGTCTATAATATTTCAATATTGTGGCATCATCCAAAGAGGTTACATGATAAGCACATGCAATGGGCCTGAAAAACTTGTCTATACACTATTCATAGTCCAGAACCAGAACAAAGAGCACCACCAGTTTAATAAAATGTGACCTTGCCACAGTACAGTCTTTGTTCACCTGACAGGGGACATTCATTACAGAAAATAATATATTCCATCTTTAGCTTACCTTCACCAGTGAGAATGACTGAAGTTTTAATTCTAAAGTCATTTTGGTAAATCTTAAGTTTCAGATATAAAGGTTAAAGTAATATTGTAATATCCTACTTTATTTTTGACCTTTGTAGGTTTCATTACCCTCTTAATAAGCAAAGATTTTAGTAAATAAAGAATGCTTAATAAAAAACTAAGGAGCACGCATTTAGGAAATGCCATGTCTATATACTGTGATGAAATCATATTAGTCAAATATCTGACTGCTACTTAAAGCTACTTTATTTGTGAGAATGTGAGAATGACTGAAGTTTTAATTCTAAAGTCATTTTGGTAAATCTTAAGTTTCAGATATAAAGGTTAAAGCCAGTCGGTCAATAGCATCTATCCATTTTACACTGTCACATATGTCCCTCTAGTGGAATATATTTATACTGCAATCATAATTAGAACCTGACCTTATTCTTATCCAAGTAATCTCAGAAGGATTGCCTATTAATGGGACTTGATTAAGTCTTGTAATATCCTACTTTATTTTTGACCTTTGTAGGTTTCATTACCCTCTTAATAAGCAAAGATTTTAGTAAATAAAGAATGCTTAATAAAAAACTAAGGAGCACGCATTTAGGAAATGCCATGTCTATATACTGTGATGAAATCATATTAGTCAAATATCTGACTGCTACTTAAAGCTACTTTATTTGTGAGAATATAATGTAATTTATAAATCATTGAGTTTTGGTGGTGTTTTATCTTTTATCTTATTTTTTAAAATTATATTGCATATATAAACAAAAAATAAGTCAAATAAATAAATAAATAAATAATAAATAAAGTGTTACAATTCTGTAAACAGAGAATATGAACATTAAGTAAACTAAGCCTAGCTTTTTTAGTTTCTCTTTCACTTTTCAATTGCAAATAAACTACACTGCAGTGAATTGCATCATAAAACAAAAAGGAAAAGGGAAAATACAAACATGTAAAAAAAAAAGTACACCTCAATTAGTAGAAATATAAGATAATCATAGCCCTTAAGGTATTTGTTATTCTAATTCTTGTTTAAGAGATTTTATAGTATGGGAAGTCTCAGCAAGAAACACTTCAAATATAGGCAAAGTGTTAAGAAATTTGTGAAATAAAACAAACAAACAAACAAAGAAATTAATAAAAGAAATTAATAATACACAGTTACTGCCAGAAAAAGAAAAGTTTAATTTCATTTTATAAAAATAGATTGATAGACCAGTTTAATGACGCGATTAAAAGTCCTTGTGACTCTTATCTTTTTTTGACTTTTATTTTGAAAACATGACGTCACGCTGTGGACGAGGAACTACTTTCCACTCGAGCAGGGCTTGTCACTGGTGATCGCCTGCTTGTATGCCCTTGTTAGCCACGCAGCTAACCTAAGTGCCCCATTTGGAAAGATGAATTGAATTTTATATCGGAAAGCGATCTGATAGACACCTATATTTGCCATTAGTTGCTAATAGCAGGATGTTACGAGCCGGAAGTGTAGTTACCTGGTAAGTAAAGCAGCACGTTTGCAGCAGCTACAGAATTTAACGCAGATACAGTAGACTGGAAACTAACGTTAGGTGATTTGATGTATCAATATAAAATGGCTCATCACATCTAATCTATATTTATACGTGTGAACTGTGAGGATTAAGTTAGCTCTTAATGACTGCTATTAGCTGGTATCGTTTCGTAAATGACACTGACAGGCTACACTACACCACCCAAAACACCGACCCACTTTTCACAACTGAAATCACTTTTGCATTAACTAGATTTTTAACGAAATTTCTACATTGATATCATATGAATGGTCTTATCAATATAATATTAATAGCTGTCTAATTTGACATATTCTTTCCCCCATTTGTTAACGCTCTAGCCATTGGAAAACTGCTATAGGAACCACGAACTGTCCTGACTCTGAGTTCTTTTATTTGCGTTCTTGCTTAAAAATTTATTTATAATCACTCAAGATGACTTTTGCAGGTATTTGGTGGTCTATTAACACAGCTGTCAAAACTGGGACCTTGTGTCATATGCTGTTTTGCGAGCAGCGTGCGTCTGACAGAAACCAGCCAACATTTTCTGATTTTTTAAATAGCTTTTACTGGTATATTTTATATCCTTATGTCAGAAATAGATTGATATTTTTTTCATTAAATGTTTATATCTGTTTTATTTACAGAAAACTCTGATGTTACTCGATAACAGCTATAAATTGACTCTTGTAATCGCAAATCGCATCCCTACTCTTGAGCCATGCATTTCAACAATAAAGGCTAAATTCTTCAAGTATTATTATAAATGTCATGTATGACTCGGAAGTGTGTAAATGTGACAGAATGATCACATTGTTCTTCTCTCTCCAGCATTGCCTGCAAGAATCTGCTTCCCTCCAGAATGGGGGTGAAGTTCAGAGTTCCGCTGCAGAAACTGCACCCGCTCTCCCGTGCCATCCATCACCGCTACTTTGCTAACAACAATCCACAAAGACCACCTCACTGCTCAGCTGCCCGCCATTACACGTCTCTCTCCAGGCTCCCCATGCGTCCTCCCAAATCCCGATCAGGAGGCCACGGCTATCAACAGCACCGGTCCTTCTGGGTGGCCCGTCTTGCTGCCAGACTGCTGAAACTGAGGTACATCTTGCTGGGCTCAGCAGTTGGAGGTGGATATACAGCAAAAAAGGTATGTTTAAGTAGTTGGTGGTTGTGTTGTGCATATGAAATGACTGGCTCAAGGTCGTTTTACTTGCAAATTCAGAGTACACAATAAGTTTCAATCTGAATTTTTACACTCTCAGTTTGCTATTTGTCTGATTTTTTTTGTTTCAGCCGTCAAATCGGTTGTCAACAGAAAAATACTATTGACTGTTGGTATCAGGTAAAATATTTATTATTGCATCGCTAGTCAATGTAGCCTGTCTGTTTTGTTTGTTTCCAGACTTATGATGAATGGAAAGATATGCTTCCTGATATGAGCCAATACACATGGATTGTGCCAGACTTCGTTTGGGAGCTGAGTGAAAATATTGATTTAGGTAAGTAATTTGTAGAATCATATTCTGATCAAACCTGTTTAAAGGGGTCCTATTATGCTTTTTCACTTTTTCAACTTTAGTTAGTCTGTAATGTTGCTGTTTGAGCATAAAAAAGATCTGCAAAGTTACAAAGCTCAAAGTCCACTTCAAAAGGAGATATTTTATTTAACAGAAATCACTTTTCAAAAACTACAACGAACAACTCGTTTGGACTACAACGCATATTTTCTGGGATTTGTGATATCACAAATATCGACGAATGGGACGAGACCTGGTTGAGCTGCACTAGAGAAGGCAACGAGTGTTATCACTATGTCAGAGACACGCTAGCTTTCCCAAAGCAGATGAACTTAGAGTGGTTACAGTCATCCGGGTTTAAATCGCGCTCAAATTGATTTGATTTTGACGCAATATTTACACTGAAGCTCGCAGGCGGCTATGGTAAGGGGCATGACATTTCCCGACCAGGCGCAGAGTGCTGCCAATCACAACACACACTGGCCCAGAAAAGCCAATCACAGCACATTTCGTATTTCAAAAGGCGGGCCTTCATTTGATACAGGAACTATTCGAGCCGTTCATGCCAGACTGGGGAGAGAGGTGTTGTAATAATGTAAAATATGTGAAAAATAATGTGTTTTTCAAACAACCTAGTATGAGAGCCTGTTCTAGTACACCCCCAAAACAAAATCTAGACTTTGTAAAAGAGCATAATAGGACCCCTTTAACATATGCATATGCTGCAGTTGCAAATTATTTTGTGGTGTTGACTTTCTGATTATATGCTGTGAATGTTATTTCTGTGTCCCCGAATAAAGGCAAGCTAGCCAGTGCTTTGCCTGAACTAGAAGAGATAGCCAAACTATTACCTGATATGGAAAAGATCAGAGAGAACTTCACCTTCCTGAAGAGCCTCCTCTCCAGTGGTAAGCAATGTCCTTTAAACGCACCTCATGATGGACACAAATGGAATACAGGGGAACAATTCTGTTAAATAAAAATGTAATGATTCATTAAAAATATATATTGCTGTTCAAATGGTTGTGTTCAGTAAAAAAAAAGAAAAAAGAAATTAATGCTTTTATTCAGTGAGGTTGCATTAAATTGATCAAAAGTGTAATTAAAGGCATTTACAGGGATTAAAGTTCCTCGCTACGACGGATTTCCGTCAGTTCATAAAGACAGTCACTTGCTTAATTCCTGAATGATTCAGCCGTTCGAACGAATCAATTGAATGAATGATTCAGTGATAAAATCAGTGACTTGCCGCCACCTGCTGGCGGATTTAGTTTAATTTTTAGCGTATAATTTCAGTTTTAAATTTTAAATTTAAATTTTTTAAATTTAAAATTTAAATAATATATCTGTATTCAAAATTTTATATTTAAAACATTAATCTCCACATGAATTTATGAATTTAATTGCACTCATGCAACCTCTGAGCCTCATTAAACGTCTGAAAATGTACCTACAAGCCACTTTTGTGTTCTTCTGTGCCACCTCTGTAGAACAAATTAATTTATTGATACTAATTTCATATGATTGGTAACTTATTTGTCTTATTCTACTTCTTATTATATTGCAGGGGTTAAAGCAAAAAAAAAATCTTTTGACTGAAAATTTTTCTTCGACCAAACCCCATTCCTCAGCCATACCTGTCACACACCCAGTTTAAGAGCAGTTTTTTCTTCTTGTAATTAGGAGCGCCTGTTCTCCTAATTTAAAAATTTAGGAGCACCTTCTGATCAATAATAAAAAATTCTGATAAAAAATTTGCCTTCCTAATACGAGGTGATATTTGACTCCTTAAATTGACTTACAGGAGTATTTTCTTTTTGCCTTTGTAATGGCGTCATTTTCATCTGTCAAATTAAAAAATGTATGTTTATAATCTTTTTAAAATTTCTATTTAAAACAATATGTAGAATAAGACAAATAAGCTACCAATCATTTGAAATTAGTATTAATAAATTAATTTGTACTACAGAGGTAGCACAGAAGAACACAAAAGTGGCTTGTAGGTACATTTTCAGACATTTAATGAGGCTCAGAGGTGGCATGAGTGCAATTAAATTAATAAATTCATGTGGAGATTAATGTTTTAAATATAACATTTTGAATACAGAAATATTAAATGATTTAAATAACTGCAAAAGACAGTCACTTGCTTAATTCCTGAATGATTCAGCCGTTCGAACGAATCAATTGAATGAATGATTCAGTGATAAAATCAGTGACTTGCCGCCACCTGCTGGCGGATTTAGTTTAATTTTTAGCGTATAATTTCAGTTTTAAATTTTAAATTTAAATTTTTTAAATTTAAAATTTAAATAATATATCTGTATTCAAAATTTTATATTTAAAACATTAATCTCCACATGAATTTATGAATTTAATAGCGCTCATGCTACCTCTGAGCCTCATTAAACGTCTGAAAATGTACCTACAAGCCACTTTTGTGTTCTTCTGTGCCACCTCTGTAGTACAAAT